GTACTGGAGAGGAGGGTCCGATCGATAGTTGAATCTCAGATTGAGGAGGAGCAATGTGGTTTTCGTCCTGGCCGTGGAACTGTGGACCAGCTCTAGCCCTATACCCTTGCAAGGGTGATGGAGGGGGCATGGGAGTTTGCCCAACCAATCCACATGTGTTTTGTGGATTTGGAGAAGGCTTATGACCGTGTCCCCAGGGGCACCCTGTGGGGGACGCTCCAGGAGTATGGGGCGGGTGGCTTTCTGTTAAGGGCCATTCAGTCCCTTTACCAGAGGACCGTGAGTTTGGTCCGCATAGCCGGTAGTAAGTCGGACCTGTTCCCGGTGAGGGTTGGACTCCGCCAGGGCTGCCCTTTGTCACTGGTTCTGTTCATTACCTTTATGGACAGAATTTCTAGGCGCAGCCGTGGTGTGGAGTGTGTCGAGTTTGGTGGCAGGAGAATCTCGTCTCTGCTTTTTGCGGATGATGTGGTCCTCCTAGCTTCATCCAGCTCTGACCTTCAGCTCTTGCTGGGTAGGTTCGTGGCTGAGTATGAAGCGGCTGGGATGAGGATCAGCACCTCCAAATCTGAGACCATGGTTCTTGACTGGAAAAGGGTGGCTTGCCAACTCTGGGTCGGGGGAGAGGTCCTACCTCAAGTGGAGGAGTTTAAGTATCTCGGGTTCTTGTTCACGAGTGAGGGTAGGAGGGATCGGGAGATCGACAGGCAGATTGGTTCGGCGTCTGCAGTGATGCGGACGCTGAGCCGATCTGTCGTGGTGAAGAGGGAGCTGAGTCAGAAGGCGAAGCTCTCGATTTATCCGTCGATCTACGTCCCAATCCTCACCTATGGTCATGAGCTTTGGGTAATGACCGAAAGAACGAGATCGCGGATACAAGCGGCCGAAATGAGTTTCCTCCGTAGGGTGGCCGGGCTCAGCCTTAGAGATAGGGTGAGGAGCTCGGATATTCGGGAGGGACTCGGAGTAGAGCCGCTGCTCCTCCGGATCGAAAGGAGTCAGTTGAGGTGGTTTGGGCTTCTGGTCAGGATGCCTCCTGGACGTCTCCCTGGGGAGGTGTTTCGGGCATGTCCTGCCAGCAGGAGGACCCCGGGTCGACCCGGGACACGTTGGAGAGGTCACATCTCCAATCTGGTCCGGGAACGCCTTGGGGTCCTGCCGGAGGAGCTGGTGGAGGTGGCCGGGTAGAGGACTGTCTGGAGCTCCCTAGTTGGGATGCTGCCCCCGCGACCCGGACCCGGATAAGCGGAGGAAGGCGACAACGACAATACATAAAACACTGGGGGGGGGGGGGGCCTGAGGTAAATATTTTATATAACAATTAAAACTTTTTAACATATTTGAAGAAACACTTTATTCATAAGTAACTGAGTGTTTCTTTTGGAACGAGATCATTTCTTGTTTCTCCTCCACCAAAAGATGAATTTTCTCATGTTTACAACGACTCCCACAAAGACCAGGAAGAGATCCAAGTCTAAATTGGTCAGTTTCCTCTCAGCCAGATAGATTTATGAGACCTGAGGTTTCACTTTTGGTTTTGGACGTGTTTTCTGTTTATTCGAGTTGACAAAAAAAGTGTACAGTAATTTCCCAACATCTGTTCGTTCACCAAATGAGGCCTGAGACCAGTTCCATCGTGTGATTTCTGTTTATATTGTTTAGTTTTTTTCTTCTTTCAAATCATGAAAAATCTCTTTCAAACATTCGTCAGCATCAGCAGCTGAAGAAAAGAAAACAAAGGTTTGTAACTCGTAAATGAGTAAAGTGTGATTGTGACGCACATCACTTTCCAGAATGTGGATGAGGTGTAAAAATTACCGTGTCCAGCTCTCGTGTGAGACACAACGATGACGAAACCGTTCCACGGCAAAACTGCAGGGATTTATTATAAACTGATAAGTTGTTGAGTTGAATCCTGAGTCAGCAGCAGCCTGCACATGCAGCGGTGACACGACTGAACTCTGTGGTGAAAACGCAGATTTATTTGTTTTTTAATCCCATAAATGCCGGGATGACTCGTGGATGCCCTCAGTGTTGTGCAAAGCCTTTTAAGACCAGGAGTGTCATAGCTTGTCCAATCACAGAGGCCTCTGCGGCTGACCGTAAAACGCTTCCAGATTTGGCACACACACACACACACACACACACACACACACACACACACACACACACACACACACACACACACACACACAAGCATGCACAGATTCATTGTTCAGAGCTAAAATGCTCCCAGTAAACTAGCATTTATCATGTGAGCACTATTTTTGAGGTCGAACACAAGAGATGATTTATGGGTGTGTTTCAACTTCTTTCACACTCAACCTCCATCATGAGCAAAATCTGTCACCATAAAAATAAAACACACCCTGTGCTACATGGCAAAAACGTACTAAACATATTTTATTTACTCAGCCGCTGTGTGATAAGCTGCAGCGACTCAGAGGACGGGTGAATAAAAATATAGAGGTCACTTAAACCAAAGCCCCAACTGGTCCGGTTTACTCCAAAGTCAGCAATCATCTGAAACTGTCGGACTTTCTTTTTTTATTTGTTTTCTTTTAATTTTATTACAAAGAGGCACCCAGCCCCCAGTCAGCAGGTCGGCCCTGAAACACGAGTCCTCGCAGGAGCTAAATACGAAGACAAAACAACTCCCTCCACCATAAGCATATGGGCGATCCAGTAGGATGGAGTCATTTATGAAAATCAACCAAATTTTCTGTGATATATTAAATCTCTGCTTGGGTAAACGCGAGCCCCGTTTTATAGAGTGAATTAGGTGCTGCCTGCTCCCTGCGATCACAGACCTGGAAAATGAGGCTCGGACTGGTATTGGAGGATGTTCACAACCTGCTAATGGCCAGGGGATGAAATATATTACCACAACATTCAGTACAGTTCAGCAACATGCCTAAGCAGCCAAATAAAAGCACACAGGCGTTTCCAACACTGCACTAAAAGATTTAAACGCCAACGTTTCCTTATCATTTTTATTTTTACTTCTTGTTTGACACTCTGTTGATAAAAATTAGTAGATTTTTAAGGTGTTTTTTTTGTAAAAGTTATAAAAAAAATTAAATTACTATTTAAACCAATGTAGAAAGGTTCCTGAAACACATCTGTTGACAGAAATGTTCTACAGCAGTGGTTCCCAACCATTTTTTTAATGAGGACCCCATGTCCTGTGTCCAAGACAAGCCAGGGTCCCCCAACCCCAACTCCTACCTGCATGCACACAATTAAAAGTGAATTGCAAACTTCATACATTCATAAAGAGCTATATGTGTCTTATCTGACATAAAATTCTGACAACTTCTAATAAAAATGTACACATGTAACGTGTTTTAAAGGTCCCGTGCGTGAAATCCATTGAAATCATGATGAAAAAATGTGATTCTTTAGCGCCGTGCAGTTCAGAGAAAGTTCTTCTGGCTATTTTCCCATTTGCGATCAACTTTTACAGGAAAATGAAGTAATGTAATGTAATAATGTTATGCTTGTGATGTTTTATCTGTATTTCCTCCTAAAAACAATAAAAAAATACAGTAAAAACATTCTTGTCCACTCTTTTGCAGCAAGCTTATTTATCGTTTTTGAAAGTTATTTAAAAGATGTAATCTCACTCAGTTTAACATCTTTTGTCTGAGGTAGTTTAGTCCTCATAAAGGACAATAAGTTCTGTGGATTTGGAAATATTTGCTCTTGACTGCCTAAGGGAAACACAATATTTCAGGGGAACATAATTTCCCACAACACCCGTTTCACGTGGATCACAGCGCCTCGATGTAAACAAACTGGCTGCCTCTACCATCTATGGAGCGATCACTGGCTGCTCGTTAGCCACGGCGGGTTCATGAGGGTTGGTGAGCCGGGGACAGGCTGGAGATCAAGTAAACAATGCTGACTTATCCACCAGCTAATCGTGGCTCACGGGTGGCGTGGTGGAGATGGGAATCACGAGCTACTACTAGTTAGCCATGGCTAGAGCCGGGGAGACGCTGTGTACGCTGTGTGTAAACTCCCACGGATTACCAGCAAAAGGAGACCCAAGTCTAACGGTAACGTTTGAGGAGAGTCCCTCTGAGTCGAAGCGTCTCTGTAACGCGTAGAGAACTACATCGCTGTTAGTAAAGTGTTGTGGAGATGAAGTAAACAACACTGATTTAGCCACCGGCTAACGCTGGAGCGTGTTGGGCGAGACAGCGGGCTGCAGGAAGAGAGGAGACTTGAGTACTTTGGAATGGACACGCTGGGACCGGGTCGGGAGTTCTGGTACTAGGAAAAGACGGATGAACAACTTGAGGTAAGTTCGGGAGTCGGAGACGCTAATCGGAGGCTGGCGTCCAGATAATAGCGGGCAGGGGTCGGAACATATGCGGCTTCCTCGTGTTGGACATGATGACGAACTCACAAATTTTGTGTCTTTTGATTTAATTGTTTTTTATTCAAATTAACAAGTGCAACAACAGTGTAGCTATTCTTTTCTATTTCTTAGTTGAATTAGCAGACTTCATGCTTCTAGGGAGCACTGCTGCCCTCTGCTGGTTCTTTCAGGTTACAGTCACAGTACAAACGGCTAACGTGGAGCTCGTATGTCCCTAAACAGCCACTGTACTTTAAGATGGTGGATGACCATGGAGCGTCGACTACAGTTTATGTATTTTAAAATGTAAAATTTCAAGTTGAGAGGAATATTTAGAATTAATGTCGGTGACAAATATTAGTGAAAAAGGACAAGTTTGTGAACTGGAAACACAGGATTTATAGTAAACTGGTAGAAATATCACACACTGTGCCTTTAAAGGCACGATTTGAATCTGCGGCTGCAATTAAACACTCATCCTTTAGAGGGCACTGTCTCAAAAACAATACAAGCCTGAATGGGCAGTCGGCCTGAATCTGCGGTCTCCGGGTCTGCAGCCATACACGGGTCTGACCTCTAATAACCCCAGACCCACTGGTCAGAGCGTCGCTCACCCAGAGGCAGAGAGAAAGAATAAACCTCCAACTTATTTATTAATGTCGACAAAAATCGTAACAACTCACCACTTCACCTTCAGGTATTCCTCACTGAAGCAACATGTAACTGCTATGAAGACATGGAACACATGAAAAGTGTTAACTTAATCAGGGAAGGCAGACGTGTTATTTCTGCTTTTACATTTTTCACTTTATTTCAAGCTATAATTTTGTGTTGTCATCACATTTAGCTTGTGTTGCATTTAAACATTTTTATCTTCACTAGTTTCATGAGGGTGTTGCTTTGTTTGGAGAATGAATCATAACACAACGTAAAAACTACTTGAAAGTTTTGAACGTTCTTCAGTTTGTTTAAGAAGTATTTGTTCTGCTGAAATTCATCCAGTATGCGAGAATGTCAAAAACAGTCACTTTGGCATACATAAATAAACAGAAGAAAAGAATATAACGGATAATGTGATATAGATTTTAGGTCACATGGCCCATTCCTACCTAAATTAATAATAAACCACGCACCCCCCTGTCCTGCATGTTTTCCATGTCTCTGCTTCAGCCCACCTGACTTATACGTTTGCATTGCCTTCTCAGGATGACATCAAGTGCTGCAGAAACCTGTTAATCACTCATTCATTTAGATCAGGTGTGGCAGCAGGGAAACACCCAAAACATGCAGGACGGGGAGCTGAGGACCAGGGTTAAGAAACACTGCATGAGAGCAGGGCTACAGCTGCTACTGAGAGGGCCTGAAGCCTCGTTCACACCAAATGCAGAATGGATGCAATCCGGTTTCAAATGGATCAGAAAGCATTGAGTCCAATGAGTGCATTTACTCCAGTTGTGGTGCGGATCCAGATGAAGAGCTCCAAGTGTTTCCACGTGGAGTCTATTACACCCACCTAGTACAGCGGGGTGGGTGGGGACCTGAGGTTTGGTTGTTTTTGTGTGGCTGATTAAAATTGTAAACTGTAAATAAACGGACCATCCATCCATCCATCCACCCATCCACGTTCATCTGCTTATCCGGGGTCAGGTCGCAGGGGCAGCAGCCTCAGAAAGGCCCCGACTTCCCTCTCCACAGCCACTTGGGCCAGCTCCTCTGGGGAATCCTAAGGCGTTCCCTGGCCAGATGAGAGACTTGTCCCTCCGGTGTGTCCTGGGTCTTCCTTTAGGACTCCTCTCTGTTGGATGTGCACAGCAATCCTCGCCAGGGAAGCATCCTGACTAGATAGAAAGAAAGAAAACGATCTCTTATGTAGCGCCTCTCAAGATAAAAATCCCAAAAATTAAAGTATGAAAAGATTTAAAAAATGATTAAAAATGTGTTTGAAAGAAGAAAGGAGAAGGTGAGGGAGAGAGAAAATGAATAGGAAAGAGGGAAATCAGTGGATCCCGGGAAAAGCGGGATAAGAGCAGAATGAGGAGAGGGTGATGAAGGTCACATCAAAGCCTGAACAAGTGAGTCTTCAGCTGCTCCTTAAAGGAGACCACTGAGTCCACTGATCTCAGGCTCAGGGGGAGAGAGGTCTAGAGTCTGGGGGCCCACAGCAGCAGATGATCTGTCACCTTTGACCTTTAGCCTGGTGCTGCACAACCAGTAGGCTTTGATCACTGGACCTCAGGGACCTGCTGGGGGTGTAGGGACTGAGAAGATCACCAATGTAAGATGGTGCTTGTCCATGCAAGGCCCTATAGACCAGAACCAGGATCTTGATATGAACCCTGAAGTTGACTGGCAGCCAGTGAAGCTGGAGGGGAAGCGGGGTGATGTGGGTGTGTTTGGAGGACTTGCTGCTCCAGCCGCTTCAACTGGCTCCTCTCGATGGCTAACATTGTAAAGGTTCAACAAACCATGTCCAAAAAATACCTTCAGCAGTTTATGATGGCTGCTCTCGCTGGTCATGTGTCTTGCCCATGTATGTATGATCTCAGAATTGTGTGTACTGATACTCTAACTTCCCTCTGGGATTAATAAAGTATATTTGATTTGATTTGATTGATTTATCCAGTGACTTCAAACAAAAGGGATCATGCAAAAACAAAAACAGCATAGGCTTATTTTGTAGATTGTTTATGTTTATGTTTATTCATTTAGGAGATGCTTTTATCCAAAGCGAATTACAATTTATAACCTATAGGGCATGTTGTGATCTGTGGGGGAAACCGGAGTACCCGGAGGAAACCCACGCACGCATGGGAAGAACAAGCAACTCCACGCAGAAAGGCCGCAGCCGAGTTTCGAACCTGCAACCTTCATGCTGCGAGGCAACAGTGCTAACCACTGCGCCACCATGCAGCCCAATGCATATTGTTTAGTTTTAATCCACCTTTATACGCTTTAAATGGAAAGATTTAAGTTTTAAATGAAAATCCAGAGGTGCTGAATAAAGTTTGTGTCCTTTACAGTGAGCTGCAGTTCTGGAACCCGTCTTTCATTTTTTACTTGTGTTTTAGTGGTCGGAGGTTCCAGTACTAGCTTAATGCCAATGTGTATACATACATGCACCTTTGTTATTATTTTCTTCCAATTATTTTCTGTTGGTGCTGCTGTAACAAGTGAATTTCCCCACAGTGGGATCAATAAAGCCTATTCTATTCTATTCTATTCTATTCTAATGACATGCAAGCCAACAACTTTTGGATGACTGTTGTGCAAATTTACTTTTAATTATGCTTCATTTTGGGGGAGATAATTTACCTTTATTTTGTTCACCCCTCTTAAAGTTGGTACATCTTCATTTTGCACTTTTAGAGCCACGGAATATACTGTAAATATAAGAGTTCCAGACTTTTCTGAGAGAAAATTAGTTTCACATTTGCTGTGAAAATATTCTAAATTGCCGATGCACAAGCGTGAGGCCGTGCAGTTTACAGGAGGACTCAGAACACTCACAGGTGTTTAAAACAATTTAGAGAAACGTCTCAGAGTGCAGTGAGAAACTGGCTTTAATATTGTACTCATCTTTTCTTATTCATCATTCTGATGAAAGTCTTTCTTGTTGAAAACAGAGCTGCATCTTTCTGGTGTTTTGACTAAAACGTGGAACAGGATTTCCACTAAGATGTCAAAAAGTCTCAAAGTGCAGAAATTAAAGTATTATTAAAATCATCTGGAATCCATTTTTCAGGGTCTGTTTTATCACGACTTAAATCACATTCCCATCATTTTGGAAAAGGAGTGATAAGACCTTTTGGGGTGACATCATAACAGCACCTAAGTAGATGAAAGGAAAGGAAGCCACAGACTTACTGACCCTTTGCACGTGACGTCACGCCACTCATGTGACCGCCCCCTTCGCCATGATGGACGGCAAAAAGACCGTTTACACCCGTAGAAACTCCAGTGAAGCTAGTCAAAACAAGCCAGTTTGTAGCCTTTTATGGTTTATGGAGTTGATTTGACAGTAAAATGGGTTTAGCTTGCCGCGTGGTCGGCTGCACTAACAGACGAGGACGTAAACTCAACTCGTTTTTTCTTTTTAATAACTTTGATGGAGACTGAGGACGGAGACGAACTGCAGCGATCAATCAAGCGGACTAGCAGGCCTCAGATTAGCAGCGAGCGTGTTTTTAGCGGGTAAAATTAACGTTCATTTATTCCACGAGGAAGACGGGGACAGGGGTAAATGTGATGTGTTTATACTAGTTACTGATAATCCTGATGGATGGTATTTCACCACGGAGGCTGCGCTCCATCCACTGTAGTGTAAAGCGAGACAATTATTAACAATATTAAAGCTCAGATGTATGATTACGTGTTAAAATGACGTTATTTATTTATATGAGCGTCAGTGTTCAGAGATCTTCTCATTCCGGTGTGAGAGCAGCAGCTGAACCCGGTAGCACCACCAGCAACAGAAGCTGGTCGGGATCCGGACTTTTTAACAATCAGCGTTGGTGTAAAGTGAAACGCTGTTTACAACATAAAGTTATAAATCCAGAGGGGTGAATTTAGGCAAAGTCAGCAACATGTTTACATCGGTGAACAGCTGCAGAGAGAACGCAGCTAACGTTGGTAAGCTAGTTAGCATACCGCTACATGCGCTACTTCTTCTGATAACTGAACTGGGCATGGACTAGTGGAAGGAATGCTGGAGGAGTTTTGTTTTTGTTTTGATCGCAAAAACAATTTCAGGCTCTACTTTTCTCTTTGTTTAGTACTCGTGTCGCTCACTGTTTACATGCTTTTGCCGTCCAGCATGGTGGACCCACGTGATTAGGTGACGTCGGTGCAAAGGGTCAATAGGTCAGGCTAAGAAACTTAATATTATTTAGCTGAACTGAAGAATCTCATGTTGTGATGACCTAGGTCCTGATTTCCACTACTGAAATCCAGGTCACTGTAACACATCCGATGGCGCCAACATTGCTTTTTGTTCACATTAAATCATTTTATTCTAAAAATGGTTCGCGGCCCAGCTGAAAGTGGATCACTACCAGTTTAGCTCTGTTTGCAGCAGCCAAACCTCAGAAACATTTTTATGCATGGAAACAGACAAAGCCTGCTCATTGTCATGTTGTTCTGCTTGTTTTAGGGTTGAGGCTAAATTAGTTGCAACTGAGCTTGAGGTCCAGAGACAGAGTGCTCCCGCGATGTTCGGCCCACCATTTGTCATTATACAATTTGTCTGTACTTTTTCCACAAACAGGAAGTCCCTTAAAACCAGCAGATGATCTGGCGCGGGCATGTTCGCTGTGACAGGCTCAGAGGAGGGCAGTGATTGGACCGGACAGATTCAAGACGGTGTGGTTATATCTGACGGCCGGGTTTTTTTATAGGAAACAGGCAGCACATTTTGGACAGCCTGCCAGGCACTATAGCTCGTGAGAGCTGTGACCCACAAACAACATTGTCATTCTTGTATTCTTCTTGCCTCTGGTTTTTCTCCTGAAACCTAAGCAGCCACCAGCTCCAATAACTGAGGTTTGCACTCCCAGATTTCCATTACTTCCCCTTCCTGTCGTCCAGTGGTTCCAGCTGCTGTTACTGGATTGCATATTGCAGCGTGATCCCAGGGGAGCGTATTGTTATGGAAGTTAGGTCGAGCGCACCAGAATCTATTCTAACTTCATTCAATAGCCTCACTGTCTTAACACCACAGCTGTCAGTGATGTCACTACATGATGAGCTGTGACACCACCGAATCTAGCAGCGCTTTGTCACCCTGATACACTTAAACAGAGCTCTGGCTCGGCAAAGACATGCTGTCAAGTAAGGAAAGACCATTATCTGCAATAGACACAAAAGTACAGGGGATCCCTGCAGACACAGAGATGATTAAGGGCTAAGTGTCATTCTTCCTGTCTCGGTGCATTTTTTTTACAGAGCTCTGTCTCCTTCTGTCCTTTTTACCATACAGCCCAGACTTATAGCCCTATCTCTCACGTCTGCTCTGAAAGAACAGAGAGCCTGACAACCATGATGGAGAATCATCCAGAGCCACCAGCTGTGGTCACGCACCACAACTTTTCAAAACAACTGAAGCAGGAGCGAATCAATACAAGGATCTGAATACAACTGGAAGGTGATTATTGATTGGCTAAATGTGAGTTGGATGTGCAACGGTTGGTTGGAGGAATGCACACAGGTGTCTTGGTCTTGGACACTGAAGTAATGAAGCTAAGCTTCACTGACACAGGCCTGACTTTGGGGTCTGGTTTCACTGGCAGACCAGTAAAACTACCAAATTTAGAAAAGTGTTTTCCACTGGCGCGGGTCACACTTAAACACTCGGGCTTGGGTATTTTCTGATTAAAGCTGTCTAATTTGTCAGACACTTTTAGATGTGCCATAAATATCCTGTATTACTGTAGCAGGCTTTAGGGATCAGGGCTTTTTTTTGTGTGGCTGTTGAGGAAATGGTTTAGTGCTTTGCTTTGTTGCAAACAGCTGAAAAAACCAACCTGCAACCCCAAAGATCACTAACTGGACTGCACAAACATTGCTAAAAGCTATGAAAGCTCAAAAATCTTTTACCTGTTTTATATTATTTGTATGGGTTTTATGTTTTGGCTTTTATACGAACTATAGAGAAAATACGCATTTGGAATGCTTTGACGGTTTTATTTGGTTTCTGGACTTCAAACTTAGTGTTTGAAAAGATGCATTGTGGTCTTGATTGCAACTTCTGGAACGTCCCGTGAAGACAGACTGAAAGAGGTGAGAAAGTCTGCAAACACCGGTTATATAATCCCAAAACTGGTATCAGGAAGAAGCTTTGGAA